AGATATAAGCTATAATCGTTGCAATGCGGATAACTGATTCAGTGAAGAGGCTTAAGATGATGCAGAACTGCAGATTTTTATATTTTTCTTGATCTATTTTTGGATATTGTTAAATAAAACCAATTTATAAGAAATCCCCCGTACTCATATTTGGACGTACAATCGTTCCTCTATCTCCCCAATATCTCTCCTTTCTCTCTCTAGCTTCATCTTTACTGTCGCTTCCTCTCCGGTTTCCAGCGTCTTTCATCGGAGCCGGAAGAGGCCCCTTGTGTTTCTTTTGTCCATTTTTTCTCTTTCTGGTTGTTTTGCTGTTTCAAAACGGTTTTGGTGGTGGACTTTGGTTTTCCGGCAAGGCAGTTTCGTGACGACGTAGTTTTCGAAGACGCATGCTCTTTGCAGATCTAGATCTGATGAGGACAAGATCTGGAGAAGCTTCCTTAAGGGCTTCCTGCCAGAGATCTGTGTCTGATCCTCCGTCTAGTTTTTGGTGTTGGGCCGCCGGCGAAACGATGGTGGCATGAAGCGGCGAAGAGGGGTTTTGAGTAGCTTGAACTGCCAGTGATTGATGAGTGAGCCTACTGCTCTTGAGGACGGCAGTAGGTCTTGAAAGCAGACCCGGCGGTGGCTGACTACGTCTATGGAAGCTCTCTGACGGCATGAGGCGTGGTACAGTCTTTTTTTCCACTCGCGTCGTCTTTTTGCGATCGGCTCGGCTACTCTTCTCCAAATCTCCCTTCTCAAAATCGCCATGTGTTCTTCTTATTTATCTTGCGGCGTCTTAGTGAGGTGACCGGTGATGTAGTCGGCATTTTCTTCCACATCGGTTTCTCCTATGCTGTTCCTTGGCTCCTCTTTTGGTCGGTAGCGGTTTTCGCTATGGCAACGACGGATTTCTAGCTCTTGGCGGTGGCGGTGGCGGCGGCATGGTTTTAGTCGTAGCTTTTCTCCTAAGGTTTTTAGTTTATGGGTCTTTTCTGCTTTGGTTCAGTTTTTCAATCAAGTCCAGGGGTTTTCGGTTGGGCTTTGTCCTTTTTGTTTTTTTACTCCTTCTAAACTTTTTAGTTTAATTTTCTTGTTCTGTGTTATAATTTATAAAACTAGATTTTGATCCGCGCGTTGCGCGGAGTTATTTGTGAATCAATTCTATACTTTCTAATTTTATATATTTATATTATTAGATTTACTTTTAGTCTATTTGTATATTTTTTTTCTTATTAGAAATATTTTTTTATTTTTTATTTATCTATATAAATTTATTGTGAAGTTATTTATTAGTATAAATTAACATGTGTGCCATAAGTATATATGTCTATAAACTACCTATATTTCTATTCAATTATTTTGTAAATTTATTTATAATGCGTATTTTCAGCGAGATCAATAATATGAATTCACTATCAATTTCACCCACTTTAAATTGAATAATTTCTTATATTTTTTTCATAAACTCTGGAAATTCTAATTCATTTTTGAGGTACAAATATTATTTCTTATGTCTTTCTCCTTATTGTAGATGAAGTTCAATTCTATACTACATGATTAAACACTTTATTCTTCTTGATTCATATAAAACCTTTGTTCATTTTTCACAGTAAAGTAAAAATAAATGATTTTACTTCTTTTATGCATAGTTATTTTGAGTTTTTTTTTTAAGTTTGATAACTCCGCAAACTCTTCTGTCATCTTCTGTATTTATTCCTTTTCTAATTTTTTTTTCACATTCTCTTTGTTTGTATTCAAAAGAACATTTTTAGTTTGTAAAATATGTATTTATTTTATATGAACATTCCGTAGAGAATTTGTAGTTTTTTTGTGGTTTGTAAAATATGCATTTATTTTATATGAATGATTATAATTTGGTTATATATAAATATTTCTGAGCTTTTATTTTTTATTTAATTTTGATAACTAATATCTACAAATTGTTGCATCATATTTTTTATTTAGTCATCTTCCAACTCTTTTTTCATATTCTTTTTTTTTAAATCTAAATATTATTTTGAATTATATTATGTCATATCGAAACTGTAGTTTTTATAATTTGTAAAATATATATGTTTTCTTTAAGTTATATATTTTCTTTAAGTTCGATAACTATTCTCTTCAATTTCTTCAATGTTTGTTTCCAGATTCTTTTTGTTTTTTTTTTATTTGAATTAGTATTTTGATTATTTTAGGATAAATTTTAAGAGTTTTTATAACTATTCTATTCATATTCTTTCATTATTGTTTGCTTTTAATCCGATATTTTTACATTTTTTGTTTTCTATATTCCAATTAACATTTTTTTAGATTAGTAGAAAAATTAGACTCTGTGTAGTTTGTAAAATAAGTATTTATTTTTTTATTTTTGAGTTAATATTTTCAGAAACCCCAAAAAACATAAAAATAAACTCATAAAAAATTAATATCATGTGAAAGCCCCCAAAAATTAGAAATCTATTAAAAATTTCAAAAATGATGATGTGTACATCTTAGATGGAAAGAGATTTGGCTAATTGAATTTGTAGTTTTTATACTTTGTAAAATATGTATTTCTTTGTATAAATGATTTTACTTTAGTTTTATACATAAATATTTCTGAGCTTTTGTTTTTTCTTTAAGTATGATAACTATTATCTACAAATTATTGCGTTATTTTATGTATTTGTTCGTCTTCCACTCTTTTTCCACATTTTCTTTGTTCTTTTATTCCAAATAATATATTAAATTATATTATTTCATATAAAATTTCTTGTTTTTCTGATTTGTTAAAAATATATATTTTTTTTAAGTTTGATAATTATTCTCTTCAATTTCTTCCATATTTGTTTGCCTTTAATACCTGTTTCCAGACTCTCTTTGTTTTTTATTCGAATTTAATTTTTGAATTTTTTTTTGTAGACAATTTAGAGTTTTTGTAACTATTCTCTTCAAGTTCTTTCATTTTTGTTTGCTTTCAATCTCCTTTTCTACAATTTTTTTATTTTTTTATTCGAATTAGCATTTTGATTATTTTTATAGAAAATTTAGAATTTTTTAGTTTGTTAAATAAGTTTTTTTTTATTTTAAGTTAATACTTTTAGAAGCCCAAACAAATGCAGAAAAAATAAACTCATAAAAAAAAATATCATGTGAAAGCCCAAAAAAATAGAAGCCCATAAGAAAATTTGAAAAATACTGATGTTGTACACTTTAGATGGAGAGAAATTTGGCTAATTATATATAAATGATTCTCAAAAACCCAACTTATTTGAACACCAAAAATATTTTAATATGAAAACCTTTTACCAAAAAAAAACCCAATTTATAAATGCAAATTTGGATTTTAATTTATAAATTTATATGAATTTATTTGACTAATAAATTTATAAATGTCAAAAATAATAATCTAGAAATTGTTTAGGTAATAAATATATTTTAGATCAATAATTAATATTTTTATTGTTAAAATGAACAATAAGAAAATAATTAGATGAATGTATGGGTAATTTAGTCATATTTTTATTAAAATCATCTTGATGAAAATATTAACAAACACATTTACATTTAATTACATTCAGATGAGTTATGCAAATGAGTAGCAAAGAATAAAATAAACAACATGTGGATGGATCATGTGGATGAAACATCTAGATAAATCATCTAGATAGAGATCACAACTGAGTAGACAAGCAACACCTAAATAAATAACTTAACACTTATGTGTCTTGGTCTCTAAGCTATTCAAAGCTTTTTCTCCAAGTCATTAACCTAAGCATGACATGTAGCTTAGCACTTGTCCTCTTCTGTTCATTACTATTTGTCCTCTTAAATCATTAGAAACTCAATACCTTAATATACAATTCAATTTCTTACTAAATATTCTTACTGTATAGTATCTCAATAGAAAGCATATAACTATTTTTTTTTTCGTTTTGTAAAGAAGCATTTAACTATAAACCACATAATTAAGGATACATACAGGTCTTACAATATAATTTTTTTACAATAAGAGAACCCTTACTTGAAGAGTAATGAGTAAGTAGTAGCAGCTCATTCTCAATAGTAATTGGAGTTTTTCTTTCTTCTCTGTAAAATTCTTTCTCGTAAAAAAAGGGTATGTATTAGAATTTTCATTAATACTGTGACAAATTCTCCATTTGAAAATTGAAACACTACCCGCCAATTTCAGTTTTTTTGTTAGTTATCTCTTGGTGTTAGCTTCCATTTTCATTTATTATTTAATTTGATGGTCGTCCGGATTAGTTGACCTAAAAGAAGAATAATCAAAGTCTTTCATGTGGAAAATAAGTGTTTCAGATTAGAATAATCAAAGTGACAGGAACTGGGTAGAATTGTTGCCACAAGAGCTACCGATGCCGATGGTCACAGAGCTGGGATGATGACTATCTTCGAGAATGCCTTAATTTTTTAGTTTAAAAAAAAAAGAAAAAAATGTAAAGTCCATACACAACTTATAGTTGGTGTCAAAGTCTATTACGCAACATCATCCATACCATACAATAAGGGAAGAATCCTTAAATTCAAGATTAATCAGACTGGAACCTATGTTCTATGTTCTATGTTACAGAGAGGTTTTATTAGGGGAATGGAACTCGCTTGAATAAGACGAGTGATGAGAAAAAGAGCCATTACTTATAGAAAGCCCAGAACGCTCATAAGCAATAAGGAATGACTATGGACATAGCTACTCTCTATTTAGATAAGTGTAATTGGAATTTTTGTTCTTTTCGTTGTGATTTCTCGTCACAAAAAGGGTTGGTGTTTGAATTTTCATTAGTACAGCGACAAAATCTCCAGCGAAGTGATAGGAACTGGGTAGAATTTTCATTAGCTCGGAAATAAGTGGTTTCGGATTAGAACGATCGAAGTGATAGGAACTGGGTAGAACTTTCACCACAAAAGCCATTGTTTGAGCTCTCTCCTATCCAATGTGGGACATGCATTCTTATCACAAAGCCTTTCATGAGGAAAGATGTGTGGTTTTTGAGATTAGAACAATCAAAGTCTTTCATATGCAAGCTAGTTGACTGGAGACTTTGTGTTGTGTACTTAAACATGTGTTGCAAGAGCCAAAGTTAAAAGAAAACTGTACGTGCAGACACAACTAAAAGAAAACAGTGAGAGAGAGAGTAAAATCCTGAGTGACTAGTGAAATTATGTCGATGGTTGTGGATATCAATAGAGTATCAGATATGGCAGCTCAAGATGCAAACCGGCGGAAGAGTTCAAGTACTATCCCTCAAGATGACAATATCTACGAGAGATTGAAGAAGGCGGCTCAAGATGGGGATATCGAAAGACTCTACAAGTTGATAGCGGAAGAACCAAACATTTTAGGTAACTTTGATAAAATGCATTTTTGTGAGACGCCACTACACATTGCAGCTGAAGAAGGGCAAACTCAGTTTGCCATGGAATTAATGAACTTGAAGCCGTCTCTTGCTTCGAAGCTAAACGTGTCAGGTTTCAGCCCGATGCACTTGGCCCTGCAAAACAAACACTTCCGAATGGTGAGAGGTTTCGTGGCAATCGACAGCAGCTTAATCAGCATCAAGGGAAGAGGAATGATTACTCCTTTGCATCATGTGGCTCGAGTAGGTGAAACCGAGCTGTTGAGCGAGTTCTTGTTTGCTTGTCCGTCTTCGTTAAACGATTTGACGGTTAAGTGTGAGACAGCTGTGCATGTTGCTGTGAAGAACGGCCAGCTTAAGGCATTTAAGGTTCTATTGGGATGGATCAAGAGAGTAAACAAAGAGGCAATCTTGGACTTGAAGGATGAAGATGGTAACACAGCCCTCCATAATGCTGCATCGATTAATCAGACTGAGGTACATGTCTTTCTTATCATTTAGTTTTCTCCTTTTCTCCAAAATTCTATTTGTTCCTTGAAAATGGATAGCTATGCTCTCATGCCATCTGTGGAGCTGCTTCTTAACTAACATCTGGGATTTTGCTAGTTGCTTTGTTTGATTTAGTTCTTGCAAAAGTATATAAATATATTTGTTTATGTCTCATATTCTTATCAATGTGGGATTCTTCACCCTAGAATTATGTGTGAGGCGTGCTCGGTTTTTTGCAGGTCATGAAGTTGCTGGGTAAAGTCGTTAAAGTTAAAGCCAAGAACTTGGATGGCAAAACCGCGAAGGACATACTTCAAATTCACCAATCTCCTTGTTTCCCTGAAGCAAGAAACTTTCTCCACAGTGTAAAAGAAAAAATCCTTTGTCGTTCCACAACGAATCTTGGGAATTATTTGACCCAAAAGCTATCGCTTATTGAGAGACGGAACAAATTCTTGGGGCTGAGCAATTTGAGCATGACTGGAGACATGTCTCTACAGACTAGCAATCGTCACGATGCAATTCTTGTGGTGGCTATACTGATAGTAACAGCTACATACCAGGCTGGTCTAAGTCCTCCCGGTGGATTTTGGCAGGAGACTACGGATGATCACGACGCTGGGCAGATGACTATGAAATTCTTCAATGCCGTACATTTTATCTTCCTCAACGGGATTGCCTTCTTATTATCTCTATTTGTGATTATATTCCTCATAGTTGGACTCCCCATGTGGAAGTTAGTCTATGGCTCAACGGCGGCTTTAAGTGTTGGTATGTTAGCATCATACACCACTATATTCCCGGATCCATCTTACACGGAGATAGAAAAACACCCATTTCGTTCTATATCAACAGCCATTTTCCTCTTGGTATCCCCAGTGATAATAGTAATCTTGATGTTTGCTACTTACATAGCATTCATTGCTGATAAACGTCGCCGACACCGAGTGGACTTCCCGGCGGCCTGCTTTAGCTTACGTGATGCATCGAGTCATCCCTATCTTTCATTATTGGCTGGGATTTGTGTGATCGTTGGTGTTTATGTTAGCTGGTTTAAGGTAATATTTGAGAAAGACCTAAAAATCTAAGTGAAGTTATTTTCATTGTTGTTGGAGCACATCTTCGTGTATTGCACGTTTTTCTATGGGCTTTTGTTTTCGGGCTTTATGTTCAACGGGTTATGTCTTCCTTGCGTCTTTTTCGTCTTTGTCTTAAGGTTTTACTGAGTCTTGTTTTACTTTAAAATTTAAAAAGATTCTTCGTCTTGTTATTGTTTCTCAACCTTTTGTTTTGATAAGCCAATAAAAATACAAAAAGAGGAAATTCAAATTTCCCGAATAGCTTTTTTTGTGCATAACCCTAAGAATAAGACTCGAAACCTTATAGCCGTAATTGAAATCTATTCAGTATTCAACTACATCTGAATCCAAGTTTGTTTATGAGTTTCCGCTTTCCATCATCATTGTCGGATAGCTCCACCTCTTTCTGCTATGATCATCAATGAATATAAGAAGATACCTCTTTTTTACTGATAGAAATGGAAGTAATTGGACCGCATATGTCAGCATGTATCAGTTGCAGGTTCTTTGAGGCTCTCCATGCGCTTTTCTTTGGGAATGATTCTCGTTTCTGCTTCCCAATGAGACAATTTTCACACACCTTTGTGCAGAATTCAATGATAGGAAGACCTTTCACCATCTCCTTGGAACTTAAGGTTTTCAAACTTTTGTAGTTGAGATGAGCGAATCTGCAGTGCCACAAGTGTGTCTCATTTGTTGTCCTGATCGGGAAGCACGAGTCTGAACCCGTCTCTTCAGCAAGGATTACAAACATCCGGTTGGTGCTCATTGTGGTTTCAATGATAATGCCTCTTGAGTGATGATAGATCTTGCACGCACCATCTTGTATCAGAATTGCCAGTTTTTTGTCCTGCAGTTGTTTTATGCTCAGAAGATTGTTGCTCAATTCTGGGACATAGTAGACATCATGAATCACCTGTACCAAGCCATTCACCTTCATCTTGATACTCCCTTTTCCTTGAACCACCATTCGTGCATTGTTTCCCAGCTTGACTAAATGCTTGAAGTTTTCATCAATCTCATGAAACCACTTCTTCATTCCAGTCATATGATTACTGCAACCACTATCGAGGAACCACAGATTATACAATGTTGATCCTTTCATCTCCACATGTGCCATCAACACTAGTTCCTCTTCTTCATTGAATTTCACATAGTTCACATGTCTCTCTAAGCTAGGATATTCGTACTTAAAATATCCTAACTTGTGACACTTGTGGCTATCTACCAATGCTTTGTTGAACGGTCCTCCTCTTCCTCGTTCTCCGAATGAGCCTCCTCTTCCTCTTCCTCATGCTCCATTCGGATCAGTCACGTTCAGCACTTGTTCTTCTTTGCTTGAAGAACCCTTGGAATGCCTTGTTATCTTCTGCTCATGACACAATGTCTTTCAACTCTTCGATCGAACACAATGTATGTGAATTTTCCGGAGAGTGTTCTTAAGATATTCTCAACGATCTTGATGTCTTGCATCTCTTCGCCAAGGTTCCTCATATCTGTTGCAACCAACAGCACCCTTGAGAAATACTTTGTGATATTCTCTATTTCTTTCATCTCCAGTACTTCAAAGTCCCTCCTTAGACGTTGAAGTTGTGATCGCTTCACACTCTCACTCCCTTGATACTTTGTCTTCAGAGAATCCCACAGTTGTTTAGCAGTATCTTTCTGGATTATGGTCTTGAGGATTGATCTGTCAATTTCCTGGAAGTGGTAATTCTTTACCTTCAAGTCTTTTAGCTTCTTGTCTGCTAACTCCTGTCTTTGTGGTCCGGTAAGAATTTCTCCAAGTCCTGGTTCAACATAGCCTCTCTCGATCAAATCCCACCATTCTTTGTATCGGATGAGATTTTCCATCACGAGACTACAGTGCTCAAAATCCCCATCGAACTTAGGAACCACCACTTGTCCTTCTGACATGTTTCACTCACCCTTTTAACTCACTCTCTCACGAATAGATCTCACCACTCTTGTATGACCGTAGATCTGATACCAATATGTTGGAACCAGCTTTAATAGACCAGAATGATGAGAACGAAAACTTCTACTGTTCTTATTCCTTAAAAAGCTTAAATAGCTAAAATACAAAGCAACTGCCTCCTACATTCTCGGATGGCTTACAACTAATGAAACAAATACTTGACCCAATAAACTCCAACACCTCCTACATAATCGGAGCTTACTCGACTACTACAACCAGTACTAAAACAACTAACACGTCCTCCTGGTGGATTTTGGCAGGAGACTAAGGATGGTCACAGAGCTGGGCAGATGACTATGGAATTCTTCAATGCCGTACATTTTATCGTCCTCAACGGGATTGCCTTCTTATTATCTCTATTTGTGATTATATTCCTCATAGTTGGACTCCCCATGTGGAAGTTAGACTATGGCTCAACAGCGGCTTTAAGTGTTGGTATGTTAGCATCATACAACACTATATTTCCGAGTCCATCTGACACTGAATTTGAAAAACACACATTTCTTTCTGTAGTAGCGGTTATTTTCCTCTTGGTATCCCCAGTGATGATAGTAATCTTGATGTTTGCTACTTACATAGCATTCGTTGCTAATAAACGTCGCGACTGGACTTCCCGGCGGGCTGCCTTAGCATACGTGATGCACCGAGTCATCCCTATCTTTCATAATTGGCTTTGTGTGATCGTTGGTGTTTATGTTAGCTGGTTTAAGGTAATATTTCAGGAAAACCAAACAATCTGAGTAAAGTTATTTTCAAAAACAAGACGAAGACTCTAATACACGAAGATGTGCTCCATCAACAATGAAAATAACTTTACTCATATTTTTAGATCTTTCGTGTATTGCATGTTTTTCTATGGGCTTTTGTTTTCGGGCTCTATGTTCAACGGGTTATGTCTTCCTTGCCTCTTTCTCGTCTTTGTTTTAGGGGTTTACAGTTACCGAGTCTTGTTTTACTTTAAAATTTAAATAGAGTCTTCGTCTTGTTTTTGTTTCTCAACCTTTGTTTTGATAAATCAATAAAAATACAAAGAGAGGAAATTCAAATTCCCCAAATAGCTTTTTTTGTGCATAACCCTAAGAATAAGATTCCAAACCTCATAGCTGTAATTGAAATCTATTCAACTACATCTAAATCCAAGTTTGTTTATGAGTTTCCGCTTTCCATCATCATTGTCCATCTTGTTATTCAAAGCATTCCTTCGTTTCGTTAAGAGGAGTGACATGTATTTTTGATATTAATCTGTAGAATGTATATACTATATAGAAAGGATAGCTTTGTCAATAGTTAATCCCTAATACCTTTTGTATACACACTATCCATAATATTATTTGACAAACAGCTTTTATGAAAGAAACTGATGTGTCGCAACCAAAAGAAAAGTTAGTGTAAATTAATGATCACCGAGAAATATGACATAACAGATTTCTTTAAATAAACAAACACTAAAAAAAAATAGAGAATTTGCGACTACACTACAATTGTAGTCGTAAATTATAGCGACTACTTTATCACTCATTCGTGATGAAACAGCAAGAGTAGCAAAATAGTCGCTAATTGACGACTGGCAAACTTGGTCGTAAATCAATTGTATATTAACGAGTGAGTGACGATAAATCGGAAGACGGAACACAGCATATAATAGTGGCAAAATGGTGACCATATTAATGACTGTTTTGGAATAGTGACATCACATAATGTAGTCGCTATATAGTCGCTGTTTTGCGACTGATTTCGGCGGGTCATAAAACAGTCACCTATTTGTTGTAACAATTACTGATGAACACGTTTTCAATGTTATATGGTTGCTGTACCTAATTTTTGTGACTATGGTCTGTAGTCGTAACTTTAGTCGCATTTTAGTCACAATATTTTCTATATATTGAAAGTTCGATCATTTCTTCTCAGCATCCATTCAATCGGAAAATAGAGAACTAGTAGTGTCATAAAATAAAGTTTTGTTAAGTTTAGTGAAAAAAGGTTTAAGAGAGAAAGGTTTAAGAGTGAAGAAAATTGTTATTTTTATTTTATTTTTAGTGAGAGAGAAAGGTTTAAGAGTGAAAAAGTTTAAGTATTTTTATATTGAGTGAGAGAGAAAAGTTTATTTTTGTTTTCTGAGTGAAAATGATAATAATGTCGGACAACTTTAATAATAATTATCGGGAGTGGATATATAAGAGGATCGATGAAGAGACGGAAAATTTCTCAGAAGAGTTCAGAGCGGGGGTCGATTAATTCATGGCAGTTGCAAACAATCAATCTTTAGCGCAAAACAATAGGGGTAAGTTTCACTGTTCTTGTAGTGTTTGCAAAAACGATAAATTTATCTCGGAGGAAAAAGTTTGGAATTATCCGTATAGTAGAGGATTTATGCCAAATTATTATATTTGGTATAAGCATGGAGAAAAAATCAATTTGTATTTAGAAACAAGTTATGTAAATACGACATATAAGTGAGAGTGAAGAAGTGGGTAATATAGTAGAAGATAGATATGTTGATATGGTTCACGATGCATTTCGTGATACCGTCACTTTTGATAACTATCATCAGGGATGATAGTTATCAGAATGAAGAAGAGCTGGTACGTAACCATTCAAGTAAATTCTACGACTTTTTAGAAAGAGCGAAAAATCCATTATACAAGGATTGTCATGAAGGTCACTCGCAGTTATTTTTAGCTGCCCGGATCCTGCAAAATAAGGCAGATTATAATATAGTGAAAAGTGCTTGGATTCGATTTGCAGGATGTTCACAGATTATTTACCAGACGGAAACCAGTCAACCGGTTCACATTACAAGTGATATTGCTGCATATTTCGTGTGTTTTGCATACATATAAGATAGTTTCTCATGCATTTACCTTGTACATTAGGCTAGTTTGCATCATTTTAGGTCCTAGAGCACTTTTGCACCAGCATTTGCATGTTTCTTGCATTATGCATCACATTCAGGTTGTTTTCGGCTACTTTGGAGCTTTGGAGGATTCGCGGACGTGCTAAGGCTCGTGAGGGAGTTTGTGGACACTTGGAGAACTCAGGAATGCATACTAAGGACCCGAGATCGAGTAGCAGATCGAGCAAGGCAGGTCGATCTAGATGAGATCGACCAGAAGATCGAGTGACCAAGTCGATGCGAGGGGACGGATCGAGACCGAGATCGAGTAAGGCTTAACCCTGTGTCTGTTAACCGTGAAGGCATTGCCACTCTTACCAACCAGTGTAACTGCTCCGTAGGGTAGAACCTCTTTGATCTCAAACGGTCCGCACCACCTTGATTTGAGCTTGCCCAGGAACAGCTTCAGCCTCGAGTTGAAGAGTAGCACTAGACTGCCT